TAAAAGGCAACTAAATTTGGTAACGTGAGTAACTTTTGTAACGTGAGTAACCAAAAATGTAACGTGAGTAACCAAGTTTATTATCCCAAGTCACCCAAACTATACCCAAACTGACTTTTGCTTGATAATGTTGATTTTGTTGATAACTGTTCATCTTAAACCAAAGAACCTCAAGCATTAAAAAGTACTTGTAAGCATATTTTATCCTATTTATAGTGCAAAATGGTCTTTGAGACAGCATAATTTTTAAATTGAATCTAATTACGGTATTTTATCAAGTGTTTATGTTGTTTAATGGAATAAGGAAGACACCTGTACGTCCCTACATTGAAATTAAAATGTTTATTTGGAACAAAAGCTAAATTACATTACATTATGCCCTGGATTCCCTGGAACCCACTCTTCGCATCATGGTCTCTGATAGTGTGGCCTTTCCATGGACCCAATATTCTGTGCTATAGTGGCTTACATTAAGTTGTAGCAGACTCTCAGAACATGAGAGGTTTGTTCTGATGGCTCAGCATTAGTTAAAAAAAAACTAAATTACAGCTGGACTTAAAGGGAATGTACATCATTGGCTTTTGCTGTAATTTTCAAAAATGAACTATTAGAGGGGTTAGTATAATAGATCAAATATCATCACTGACATGTTTGAAGTTTTGTGTTCGAAAATGCTGGAAAAACCAAGAAAAACAAAATTGTTCAAGTAGTCTGGTTCCCTGACTCCACTAAAGATAAAATGGATCGATTTATAGATGCTGGAAAATTGCAAAGTAATGGAACCAATCTAGCTGGCCTGCACCCGTTCATTAACATGTAACCAATAGCAAACAAAATTTGGACTGAAAAAGGGTAAATTTGGAGCAGTAGTTGAAAAATAGTTAGGTATTTCCAATGGTGTTCCCATTTTATATGATTTTTTTAATTTTTGGACCTTTAAGCAAAATTAAAAATTATTCTGGTATTATGTTTGTTAGGTAATAGGTATATGTACAAAATTTTGAAAAATGTGTGACGTCATCATGACGTCATCAAAAATGTGATTTTTTAAAACACATATAAGGGAAAGTCTGATCGTCGTGAAACTTGGTGGGTAGCTAGATAATGGTACTGGTATGTTAAATCTGAAATGACGTCACCATGACGTCATCGCATGATTTTTATGATTTTTTTAATATTTACAATTTCATTCCGCTTCCAAAATTTAACAATTCCTTTCATTGGATTGACTTCAAGCTAGGTACAAAACCAAGACCACAATCAAAAATGTGCATTTAAAGGTGTTATCAAGATGACGTCATCACAGGGCATGTGGCGCTATCATAAAGATGCATTTTTTATAGTCTCATATTGAGAAAACTATCAGTCCGAATGGGTCAAAATTGCGTACGAAGGTAGTCCGACACGTCTGATTTAATATGGATTTATTTCTTTTGGTGGATAATATATCTCAGAGACGCTTCATGCTAAATTAAAAAAATTATTGTACGGTATACATTGTGCATATTTTGAAGTCATATCTACAGAACTGTAAGTCCGATTGGGTTGAAACTCGGTATGTAGATAGACCTGGATGTGTACAAATTAAGGTGACGTCATCATGACGCCATCGTACCATTTTATATGAATTTTTGAATTTTTGGACGTTTAAGCCATATCTCAGGAACGCAACATGCAAAATTAAAAATTCTTTTTGTATTATGTTTGTTAGGTGATAGGTATATGTACAAAATTTTGAAAAATGTGTGACGTCATCATGACGTCATCAAAAATGCGGTTTTTTTAAATCATATAAGGGAAAGTCTGATCGTCGTGAAACTTGGTAGACAGCTAGATAATGGTACTGGTATATCTGAAATGACGTCGCCATGACGTCATCGCATGAATTTTTCTGATTTTTTTAATATTTACAATTTCATTCCGCTTCCAAAATTTAACAATTCCTTTCACTGGATTGACTTCAAGCTTGGTACAAAACCAAGACCACAATGCAAAAATGTGCATTGACATGTGTTTTCAAGATGATGTCATCGTAGGGCATGTGGCGCTATCATAAAGATGCATTTTTTTTAAGTCTCATATTGAAAAAACTATCAGTCCGAATGGGTCAAAACTGCGTACGAAGGTAGTCTGACACGTCTGATGTAATATGGATTTATTTCTTTTGGAAGATAATATATCTCACAGACGCTACATGCTAAATTTTAAAATTATTGTGCCGTATTACTTTGAAGTGTTGTACATGCATAATCTGGGACGTGTTTTTGATAAAAAAAAAAGCATAATGCTGAAAAGCCCTATGTTCTGTTGCAAACAGACATAGATCTCTAGTTTTTCTTTCTTCTTTTTGTCGCCTAAATCCCATAGACTTTGTACACGATTTTTCTGCACATCACTTTTGGCATTAATCTTTGTCATACATCATTCAAAGTTACCACAGGCATAGCCCCTATGGCAAAGTTGTGTCCTGAAGAGTGACGTCATGGTGACGTCATCATGGGTCACGTGACGTCATTTTAAATTTGCATAGTAAAAAGTGCTATATCTAGAGAACTGTTAAGTCTGATTAAGTTGAAACTTGGTATGTAGGTAGACCGGGATGTGTTATAGGAAAAAATTGAGGTGACGTCATCATGACATCATCGTGTGATTTTAAATGAATTTTTGAATTTTTGGACCTTTAAGCCATATCTCACGAACGCAACATGCAAAATTCTTTTTGTATTATGTTTGTTTAAGGTAACAGGTACTGCACAAACCTTTGAAAAATGTGTGACGTCATCATGACGTCATCAAAAATGGGTTTTTTTTAAACACATATAAGAGAAGGTTTGATCGTCATGAAATTTGGTGGGTAGCTAGATAATGGTACTGGTATGCAAAATCCGAAAAGACGTCACCATGACGTCATTGGTTGATTTTTTATGATTTTTTTCATAATTTACAATTTCATTCCGCTTCCAAAAGTTAACACTTCCTTTTATTGGATTGACTTCAACCTTAGTACAAACCAACACCACAATGCAAAAATGTGCATTGACAAGTGTATTCAAGATGATGTCATCGTAGGGCATGTGGCGCTATCATGAAAATGCATTATTGAGAAAACTATCAGTCCGAATGGGTCAAAATTGCATACGAAGGCAGTCCGACACGTCTGATTTATTATGGATTTATTTCTTTTGCAAGATAATCTCACCTGTAGATGCTACATGCTAAGTTTAAAAATTATTGAACCGTATTCTTGGAAACGTTGTACATGCATAGTCTGGGACGTATTATTGATAAAAAAAAAACATAATGTGGAAAAGCCCTATGTTCTGTTGCAAACAGACATAGATCTCTAGTTTTCTTTTTCAGTCATTTTTCCTATATCATTTGTACACGTTTTTTGTTACTGGCACTTTGGGCACTAAAATCAATCCGATTGACTTTATACTTGGCATACACTTAGACCAGCAGCTGAAGTTGTGTGCCGAACATTGACATCATCGTGACGTCATCACGAGTCATCCTGACGTCATCACGAGTCATCCTGACGTCATCATGAGTCATCATGAAACTTGGTATGCACCTAGACCGGGATGTGTTATAGATGAAAATTTAAGTGACGTCGTGCACGATGACGTCATCCCGCGACATGTGACATCATATTAAATGTGCATATTTTCAAGGCCAATTTCTACAGAACTACAGGTCTGATTGGGTTGAAACTTGGTATGTACCTAAACCGGAATGTGTTATCTATAGATGAAAATGCAAGTGACGTCACGATGACATCATCACGTGACATGTGACGTCATAGTAAATGTGCATATTTTGAAGGCCAATATCTACAGAACCACTGGTCCAATTGGGTTGAAAGTTGGTATGTACCTAGACCGGGATGTGTTATAGATGAAAATTTAAGTGACGTCATGATGATGTCATAATGGGTCACGTGACGTCTTGTTAAAGATTAATAGATTTGATCTTTAAAAACAATATAAAATCAACCGTGAAGAGACCTGAACATGATTTTTGCAGGATATGATAGAATTATCCAGGGTCTTCACTTTTTATATTATGTGCAAAATCACGTGACCCTTTCTTCCGGTTGAAACCGGAAGTACCTTGTAATTTAAAATTGGTGAAAGATGTTAACTTGCTTTCAACGATGTATGCTCTGGCGAAGTTGTTCTTTACCATAATATTATAGTATATATAAGAAACTTGATGTCAAGTCATCATGACGTCATCACGTGACATGTGACGTCATAATTCAAAGCCCTATGAGAATATAATCACATATCATGATATTATATGCCACCATTTTACATTTATTATAAACAGAACTACACATCCTTCCTTGATGGAACATAGGCCTACTTGAAACTTTACGTCACACGTCACCAACAAAATTACCGAAACAGCCCTGTGTTTGTCCACAAACATAAATCTAGTTTCGGTTTATTTCGGTTTTTTTCAAAAGATGGCTTAACCGACCCGACCCGACCCGAAAATGAAAATGCAAAACCAAAACCGACCCGACCCGACTGAAAAGATAAACAAACCGACCCGACCCGACCCGACCCGCGGTTTCGAGTTGGTTCGGTTTCGGGTCGGGTTTGAACATAATTAATGCCGGTGTCACATGAAAATCCGACTCCTATGAAAATCGGACCCCTTTTCCTTATTATTGGTTAATCCCTCTCACGTGACCGGTCACTTTCCTAATTACCATACTTACGCATGCGCGTTATTACCAATGAGTCCGAATTTCATAGAAACGTAAATTCACGCTACACTGGTTCGGTGGACGTGGAGCGTTTGTACGGAGGGTACCGAAGTTCCAGCGCAACGTAGCCAGGTTGGACTCCGTTGTGTCGTATTGCAATGAAGATATCGCACCTGGGCTAGGTAATTACGGACAATGGAGGTAGCTCCATGGTCCAACCTGCCACCTGAGCTATTTTGTCGATAAAGACTACAAAAGAAAAGGATACACTCCAGTCACTTACCAGCTTTTGAGTATATAGGCCTTTATCGGATAATATTAATAACCGATATACTTTTGTCAGCTGCGGGTGTGCAGACTGTAGGCACAGACACTGAGTCTGACGTACACTCACAGAGTCTGCGTGCTGTCGCAGACTAGACTCAGCAGTCAAACAGACTGACTGTACGTACGTCGTACGTACGTCCGTACGCGACGTACTTGACCCACGTCGACAACAATGTGTACATGTCATAGACATAAAGAACCTATGTCTATGTACATCATCAGCGTCTGTACGGTACGCGCGCGCACTAGCTACAAGTTGCGCTTTTAGCGCACGGGGCAAAGTTGTACGGAAGCGTACGGAACATAATGAATCGACCAAACATTTTTGTTTCGGTCCACTACATTTCGCCCAGCCGGATTAGTATTTCGCCCGGGCGGATTATTAATTCGCCCGGGCGGATTATTATTTCGTCTGGGCGGATTACATTTTGAGCTGTTTTGGAGCTCAAAAAAGCTCAAATTAACCATATTTTTGAAGTAATATTAATATTCTAGTATGTTAGGAACATTTTTTTGGGCGCTCGATATTTTTAAAAACGTTTTGTTGGGTAAAGGGGCCGTTCATCACTTTTTTTTATTATTAAAGTTGGGGTGCTTTGGACCGTTGTATTCAATTATTCTCTGCAACTTGTCTTCAAAACGGTTCATATCATAAACTTGACACTTGGACTGAACATCTTGACACAGAGTAGTACATATTACCGTGACGTCATTGTGACGTCATCAGGTACTGCAGTAATAGGTTTTTAACGTAATTTTCGTTTATTTATAAGTCATGAACTAAATAGGAAAAACATATTTTAAAGTTGATATATACGTGCTTTTTCCAAGTTCGCTTTTCTTTTCCGAACGAAATTTAAAGGAATATCATGCCTTACCGTTTCAAAAGTGGTTTTGAAATGGCGCACTCCAGTTCAGAAATTGCTCACACTATCCGTAATACGGTAGAGCCGAGGCCTCATCCACGCATTTTGTTACTATCAATCAGCGCGTAATTTAATATCCACCCTTAATTACTTCCCATTATGTAATAACTGAAGTGACCGTAACGTTCAAGTGTTTTCAATCTGTAAAGTAATGAGAAGAAGATCATCAATGTAAAAAGTATATATTTGCAGAATCCTGCTATTTAGGGACTTTCCGAGGAACTTGCAACTTTTCAAGGTGACATTGTTTGTTATGATGTTACGTTTTGGGTATTATTTGGACAATCATTCTCAAAGCAATACGAACTTGAAACTTACCCTGATGACGTCCTATATATCACTTCATTTAGACGTCATCAGGCACTATACAAGCGATTTTCTCTAAGAACACGATTTTGATCATTATAACTTATAAACAACATGAAAAATCATGTTACTTTTTTTTGGTTGACATGGATAAACATAATTGATCCACACAAACAAAGTCGCTTGACTATTACTTCCGGGTTAACCGGAAGGTCAAACAAATGCCTCATATTAAAAAAAAAAATGGGTCGAGGGATGATCATAAAACTCAATATGAAATGGGGGCCCTCTAGCAGCACCTTCAAGTATTTAACCATTTGGTAACATTTTACAAAATTACCAATGCCGATAAGGTATGTAATGGCGTCACGGTATTGTAACAACAAAATTGTCTCATAACCATGACTCGAAACATATTTTATATCCCTATTGGACTGTGGAAATGGACAAAGTAATACTTTGATTTGTGGACATGGACAAAGTGATACTTTTATTTGTTTTGAGGCTTTTGTTTGTGTTTTGAGTTTACTTGATTGACCTTACTGCATCCCTGCAATAAAAGTCATATGACTTTTCAACTTGATAATTACGTGATGTTAATTTGAAAAGGAAATGAGTTGGAGAATCAGTTTCCACACAAAAAAGTAAGATTGAACTCAAAATTTTGGGTTTGTTTTTGCTACAAGAGCATGGAAATCAGGCACTCATTTCTACGGATCAGTTGCGAATAATTATTTGTATGTTACAAAAAAACGTTAAGTCTATTCCAGTTTGAAAACTGTTTTTTGTTTTGTTTTAAAAGTATAATGAAACATTTTATTTGCGCATCAAACAGTTGCCCAAGGTAATATTCATCACACTAAATAAAAAATGTACGCGGTACATTGCAACTGGTTTCACTTTCACTTTCTAACATTAAATCGCTTGCAATTTGAAACTCGGTAACGTCATGATGACGTCACAAAATTTGTCTACATATTCCATAAAGGGTATATTTTCATACCAGGTTTCATCTTCGACCTATTTCAAGGATTGTGTCTATATATATATTTTGACGTTACGTTTAACGTTCCGGCGCCTACCCAGAAAGGAGACGGTTGTACTTTAGTTTGTTGTTATTCATAATGGGCCTAGCATACAATATACATGATTATTCTAAACATTACTATACACGCCCTCCCACCTGCTGGTGACTGACCTCAGTGACCTGCCAGATGCATATACAATGGCATTTCCAAAGACGCCCGCTTGGAGGAATGTATATGGCGGGAATTTCAATGGGATATTTTCAACATGCGGGTCGTAATAAGGATCACAGGGAACGCGTAGGCCTGCTAATTACTTACGCCAAGTACAGTCGTATAGAGCATGTAAATCAAGATTCTAGTGGGGTTGTTTGTCCCTGATGAGTATCAGTGCCGTGCGCCCATGCACGGTTGATAATTAACCGTCATCATCAGACGTAGGACCTACACACACAAAATCAAGTTGAAAATCAAGTTGTGCTATCACAAGTGAATCAAATAACATTAAAGCGCAACAAAAATATCCCCGGAAGAGCGAGGCAACATAGAAAAGGGCTACCGGCAGCATGGGAACAACTTGGCCAGTGGCGGAGCACGTCTGAAACATCTCAGAGTATGACCTCCGTTACTTTTACATCCGGAGGAGCTACGTGCAACTACGGAGGAGAGTTCGAGATGTGATCTTTCGCGATTTGTCATTTCTTTTTCACCCTCATTCGTTTTCTAACTGTTTTAGGGTGGTTGAACTCGACATAAATTTGTGTATGTATTTTTTCAGCCCGTCCCGATATGGCCCGTTGATCTGTTTGTCGTATGAGGTTTTTGTGTACGCACATCCGGTCCGTCGAAACGGTCAATGTATGGCTGGAAAAAAAAAGATTTCAAAAGCACAGAATATTGGCGAAAGGGTCCTTCAGGCCCCAACCACCCCACACCAAAAGAACCAATCTCTTCTCCCGCCCCCAGCCATGGTGTACAGTTACTGTACATCCAACAACTTTCCCCATTTCTTTTTCCTTCTTTTGAAATTAAAAAGGGAAAATGTTTGGATCTATAAGCATAAAGATGGATTCGTATGTCTATAAATAAATACTATTGTTTCAAATATAATAGCAGCCCAAAGGAGCATACGCCACAATGGGACGGGGCACATGACCTTAAGGGGGAGGGGGCACACGACCTTAACTGCTTGATTTATGTCTGTACTTGGCGTAAGCAACTAGCGCTAGCATGCAGGCCTACCCGTTCCCTGCACCGAAAATGGTTTGATCCTAATTACACTCCGCATGTCGAAAATATCCCATTGAAATTCCCACCATCTATACATTCCCTCCCATTGTAACCTTGTAACAATAGAAGGGGGCGTAAATGGAAGTGCCATTGTATGCATCTGGCAGGTCAGTCACCAGGCGGAAGGGAGTGTATAGTATGATTCAACCTCGTCCCCAGGGTGTCGAGCAGTACGCGCCCACCACTACCTGCTCTCTTACCCTGGTATTGGATCATTTGCATGTGCAAGATTTTTGCACACGTATGCAAATGAGGAACAGTCTGGTGCCTGGATATGCGTTACACATTAGCGTTTGTTTTTGTATGCGGTGTCTGGGGTAAAAACAGAGTCAATTCGTAGCAGCGCGAGCACGGCGTGAGTTACGAAAACACGAATTTTGAAATCAAACTGTTACGATCTTATCGAGACAACATGCAGTATCATATTTCATATTAATATGAGCAAATTGGAAAGGAAATTAGTATTTTCGAGAAGGCGTGGACGAATGATAGCGAAAACACGTACTGCACGTTGTGAATAATAGCACCAAGTACACGATAAAAATCCATTACTAGCCAATTGCGGTATCCAATCAGGATACAGGAAGAAAGTTTCCTATCCAGGGTTTACTATTGGAAACACGGTTGGAAATAAAGTAAGCACTGGGGACGAGGTTGAGTATGATTAGAATAATCATGTATAGGTATTATGAATAACAACAAGCTAAGGTATAATCCCGAGAGTTGATTGGATGGAACGCAATCATCGGGCAAGTTCGCGCAAGGACTATAGTTAACCATTGGTCGACTAACGCCTGCCCGAACTCTGTCTAGTCGACGATGGTTGACTACTCTAGTCGACTATTTGGAACCAGCCTACTGGGGTTGGTTGCTTCGCTGGTAACCATAGCCGTGCGCGTTCATAACGTACAGCAGAGAGCCAGGATCCAGAAGTTTTGCGATGACATTTTGACCAGCGTTCGACTAGAGACGTTCGCACGTTGCTATCAGTGCGCAGGCGTAAGGTACGTCACAAATCAACCACTAGTCGACTAATGGTCCTTGCGCGAACTTTGCCGTTGCTGACCTCGTGCATTCGCAAGTGCCGATTGGCTAGGCTACGTACTACGGTAATTGAAGGTACTACGATTGGTCTTAAAACGCACGAACTCTATAGGACGGGAAAAGAAGTGGAAGGATATTGTGTATTAGAAGCTTGAACTGAACGCCGCCTTCCTTTTTTATGACGGTAATTTTTAAATTGAGTTCCACTGGATTTTGGAAGAGGCGTCCAGAAATCCGAGGTCGTGGAGACGAAACTGCAGAGGGTGCGTGTATTCGGGCATTGAATGTATTGAATGGTGTGGAGAGTCCGTTTGCAGGGGAGGGATGTCGTGAACTTTGCCGATGTTTGGTTGAAGGCCGTCCTCTTGGAAGATCTCCGGGAAAGAGGTTACGAGGACGTAATGAACGGTAGATCTCCGGGGTTGAGCCCGCGTCCGGTGTCCGCGTTGAGAAGATGGCGCACCAGCCTGATTCCGCGCACCGAAAGCCGAGCGGCGAGGTCGGTGTTGCCTAAAATAGGACTGATGACATGGTTGAAGGAACTTTGGC